CTTCGGATACAACCTCCTGTTGCCTCCATCTTGTCCTTAGACTGTCAGCATTTTCAGGCAGGGATGTTCCAATTTGGGGACTGTATGATGTTAGCACAGTGGGGTCACGTTCCTTGACTACTCTAATAATAATCCTGTAAAAATGACTGTTGTTATCAAGGTAATGTTGGAGCCATGTTGTAGCTGTAATGGTCAAGGGAATATATGAGAGTCAAGAATTTTTGTGGAGGATATCTTTTATTGGACTAACTGCATGGCTGGGATAGACTTAAGCAAGTTTTCAAATGCAGTGCATTCTTCTTCAGGTATAAGGAAATTCATAGAGGTGATTATCTTTTATTGGACCAAGTGCTTCCAATAAAACATAACAGCTATGAAAATCCTTGACCCTCTGTTAATACAGTAATCTTCCTCTGTCTATGACGATTAACCTACCCTGCCAACCCCTGATCAAGATGGACTGCTTCTGCTCTCCATAATGCATCCTTGCCTCCCCACTGACTTTTGTCACCAATGGGGAACCAGCCAGCTAACATGGCTTGAGAGAACTGCTTTTTCTGTGGCCCTCTCCACTTACCCTTTCTGCGTCACTTGGCTTCTGAGGCCCCAATTCTCTAAGCTGTTTCAAAGCTTTGCCTTAGCCTGCACAGTGCCCCAGTGAAGTAAACAGGGTCCCAACCTGGGCATAGGGGTCTGCCTGAAGCATCAGGCCTTTTAACTGTGACCTCTTTGCAGAAGGGACTGCAGCTGTACAGCTGCTGCTTCTAAGGGCTCCAAACCTGACTGCTCTTTATGCATGCTACTTGACTATACCTAGTTAAAAGTGCTAACAGATCTGATCTGATGCAAGAGACCTGCTGTTTTTGCAGCCCAAAGAGTAAATGCCAAATCTGATGGTGATATGTTACCTAAAGGTACAGAGTAAAATTGTCAAAGGAGCCTACCTCGCATAAACTCTGATGCACATTTATCAGTGACAAACTCCCATGGCATGTCATTACTTAAAGGCTTTGTCTAACTGATTTAACTCTAATCCTTTGGCCCAGATCCTCAAACAAGCATCTAGGTATTGAAACATAACGATCTGGGTGTTAGTGTCTGTCCACACCTAACTTCTCTTTCACTTTCATTTTTCCACTCACCTGAAGCTCTTCCTTGAGATAGTTTCTCAAAATAGAGTGTTCCTTGATGTTTTATTTGCTAATTTATGTATATTTACCTTTTTGACTTATGTCTGCTTATCTCCAGACACCTCCGGGAAATTGCCAGTTCTTACCTTTCCCTCATTTATTTGACTATAGAGAAATAATAGAGCCATTTTGTTGCAAAGAATTCAGAAAGCTCACAGCAGGTGGCAATGGTTTTGACACACTGGATTCCTATTTGAAATCTCTGCATTCATTCTGTGAATCACATGCGGGTGTTATAGGCTGCTTGTACATGCCATGGGGGTTTAATTCGGTTTAGTTCTCCCTAAATTGAAATGGTGGGCTTTTAAAAACACCACTTCAATTTAGGAAGAATTAAACTGAACTAATGCTGCCCCCCATTTTTCAGCTTTCCTGCCTCCAAGAGCTCTTCATCAGGTTGTGAAACGCTTTATCTAACTGCTCTAAGAAGAAAGGATTGTGGCTTCATGGCTTATTTATTATGACTGATGAGTTTATAAAATGGAGTACCCCTCCATTTTGGAAGAAGGTGTACTTTGGAAGTCCGGAGACAGATGTATTGCCAGATAACAGGCTGTTTATACACTGAAAAAGCCACTTCCACGTAGTGATCCTGCTAACGTCTCTGATGGCCAAGAGTTCCCCAATCAACAAAAATGTGAAAGCGCACAAAGATAAAGATATGGACACCATTACACTCAAACTCCCACTGAAGTCAGTGGGAACCTTACAATTAAAAGGAATTCAGGCTGTAATTCTTAAACAGAAACCAATTTCTCTTTATTATTTCATAGATTTCATAGACATTAGGGCTGGAAGGGACCTCGGAAGATCATCCAGTCCAGCCCCCTGCCCAAAGGGCAGGAAGTCAGTTGGGGTCATAGGATCCCAGCAAGATAAGCATCCAGTTTGCTCTTGAAGGTGTTCAATGTAGGCGCTTGAACCACCTCCGGTGGCAGGCTGTTCCAGGTTTTATCATACCTCTGAATCAAGTAGCCTAGTACCCTGATCTCCTAGCTAGCAGATCACCCCACTGTCTGAGATAAAGCCCATCCAAGTCAACAGGAATCCTTCCAGTGACTTTTGTGGGCTTTAGGTTAGGCTCCTAGGGCCTGTGTACATGAAATGGGGGCCCTAAATTGAAGCGGTGAGGTTTTAAAAACACTGCTTCAATTTAGGGCCCTTTAAACCCCCTGTCATGCACACACCTGAACTTACCTCGCTCTCTGGTGGCAGGGAGAGGAGAGTGAGCTGCTGGCAGGTGGAGCTATCCCTGGGCTGTGGGTGGGGGCTGGTGCTTCCCTCTGCAGCAGCACCCGCTCACAGGCACCCGGCTCGGGCGGTCCCGGGGGGCACCACAGCTGCGGAGGGAAGCGCCAGGCCCCCATGTAGCTCAGGCAGGCAGGCTCCAAGGTGGGGAAAAAAGAAAAAAAGATCAAGCTTGCCACTTCTTTTTTTCTTGGGCAGAGCCTGTCTTCCCAGGCTGATGCCAGGCTGCCTGCACGGGCTTCCTGCAGAGCCCCTGAGCTGCATGGAGCCTGGTGCTTTGCTCTGCAGCTGTAGGGCAGCAAACTAAAACTCCTCAGAGGACTTTTAGTTTGCTGTGCCCCAAGTCATTTAAGGCACATTATGCCACCGCATTTGCTACAGTGGCTGGAATTACTGTGGAATACGACACTGACACGTGCAAACACCAACACCATTAAAGCGGTACAAAAGCATTTAACTTGCTTTAAAGTGTCATGCACAAATTCCCCTTGTTTCGTCTACACAAGACCCTAGTTGGTAATCTGACTCTTTGCCATACCAGACCCAGCCACTAGTTCCAAGAGCAGCTTCACCCAAGAGGTGATGTTCCAGAGGAGAACAGTCCCCCAGCCAACATGTACAATGCACTTCACTGGTCACTTCTGGCCCATTTTTCTAGTCCAGTGAGTCTCAACTTGAGACTCTTGGGGTCCCTTGAGATTGGAGATTAGGGAGATATAACAAGGTAAGTCCAGGCTCAGGCTTAGTCCTTGCTCCCATTGCCCAGCCCCTTCATAAGCACTATTATATATTAATTGGTTTTTGAAGCTGGGTGCCACTCAGTTCACAGAAGTGATGGAGGACATCAAGTGCTTCTAATTTACTGAGGGCTCCCCTGAGCCTGAGAAGCATTGTCTAGTCTTCCTGCTGGCCTTGCCCCACTACAGCATCTAGGCAACAAATCCCAAACTTAACAGTCGTGTCTGGGAAGAGCTGCATTCCCCAGTCACCCCGCTCTTTCTGGCTGCTGCTCAACAGATCCTCTTTGCCCATCTCAGTTCCCAGGCAGAAACAATAGGGTCATTCCTCTCTCATCATGTACACAGAGCTGGGTCTTACAGAGTCTTTCAGAGAGATTCCTCCAACTCTAGGGCAATACTGACCCCCACCCCCACAGCCCCTTTCACTTGTGGCGGGGAGGGGTTGTAAAACATCCTGGCTCCAGCAGGGATAGGATGGAGGCTTTCCTGGGCCAAGCTGCCAAGGGGACACCAGCATTTCTGTGCGTGCCAGAGCCATCTAGGCTGTTGTGAACTGTTCTAGGGAAGCCCAGAGCCAGGGCCGGCTCCAGCCTGCAGGCTCCCTGCACCCTTCCCTTCCCTTTCCTGTAAAGGAGATGAGGCCCAGGCACCATCTGCTTTCGCTTTTCTCTACAGGAAAAGTCCAGCAGTGTCTGGCACCTGCACAGGGGTGTGGGCCCTGGCGAGGCGGGTAGGCAGGTGGGTCGCCCCCGCCTGCTTGCCTGGGAGGCCGCTCCTGATAGCCACCCATGGCCTGCTCCGCAGCCATCAGGTCTCGCCTGCCTTGTCCATGATGCAGAGCCCGGTGCCCCACGGTGCCCTGCTGGGGCATGATCTGCGGGGTGCACGACCTGGGCCCGCCTACCCTGTCCTGCCCTCTGCCCTGGCCCAGGGCTGCGTCTGCAGTGCCCCTGCGAGCTCCACCACTCACGTCCAGGACCTGCAGCATCCCCAAGAGCTCATACACTGCAGCTGCTCACATCCCCGCTCTCTCTCTCTCACACGCACCTGTCTCATACACACTTGTTTCACAAACACACATAGATGTCACACCTCCCCGTCATATCCACACAGATCTATGTGTCTCTCTCTTACACACCCATCACCCCCCCACACTGATGTCACACATACTCCCAAACACACACACCTGTCTCACACCCACACGGATCTCTCTCACGCACACAATCTCACACACACACACGTCTCCTGCACGCCGGTCTCACACACAGATAGATGTCACACACACACAAGCCCTGTCACACCCACAGATCTTTGTGTGTGTGTCTCTTACCCACACACACCCATCACCCCCCACACACAGATGTCATATACATACACAGAAACACACACACCTGTCTCACATGCACACAGATCTCTCTCTCACATGCACGCACACACACACACATCTGTTGCACAGAGATCTGTCTCTCTCACACAGATCTGTCTCACACCCCCGTCACACACTCCCACACTGATGTCACACGCACACACACACCCGTCTCATACACACCTGTTTCATACACACACACATAGATGTCATACACACTCTGTCACACCCACACAGATCTATGTGTGTGTGTCTCTCTCACACACCCACACCCGTCACACACACCTACACTGTCACATACACACACAAACACACACACCTGTCTCACACCCACATGGCTCTCTCTCTCTCACATCCACGCACGCACACCCACCCACTCACACACATCTGTCTCTCACACGCGCCTGTCACCCCCCCCCCACACTGATATGTGTGCACACGCACACACTCACTCACCTTGGAAATGGACATGGTGAAGTAGACGAAGAGGCCGGTGGTGGAGGCGATCTGCAGGGCCACGATGGACATCACGGCCATGGCGATCCAGAGCGGGCTGCACGGCTGCCTCCGCCGCCCCTTCCCCGCCCCCGGCTCCCCGCGCCGGCTCCCCGCGCCCGGCCGCCGGGCCCATCATGCAGGCGGACGAGTCGCTGCTGTCGGAGCGGAAGAACTGGTTGTTCTGCGCGGGCGGCTCCATGGCATGGTCTGGAGAACGCCGCTCCCCGCAGGGAAGGGAGCAAACTCGAGCGGGTGCGTGCGTGCGTGCGCCGGAGGGGAGGGGAGAGGAGGGGAGGCCCCGGCTCTCGGCTCCAGCTCCAGCAGCCTCCTTCCAAGAGGCTTTTGATTCCCGGCCAGATCTCGCTGCTTCAGCCCGGGCAAAGTTCAGGTCACTGCGCAAACAAAAGGCACCCCAGAGAGAACACGTGGGGGCAGCCCCTGCTCCTGCGGCGCTTGTTCTCCCTCACGCACCAGCCAAGGTCCTTGCCACTTGGGAGCAACAGAGATGCTTGTTTCCCTAAGGCAGTGGTTCTCCACCTTTTTTGTACCAGGACCCAGTTGTAAATGTTGGCTGCCAGTCTCAACCCAGTGCCCTCACTCCCGGCCGGCTGCCCCCAGGCCCCAGCCCCGCAGTGTGCGGGGCAAGTACCACCAAGCAGCCCTGCAGGCTGGGGCTCTGCCAGCCTGCAAGGAAAAGCCACAGTGTCCCATGCTTTTCTCCTTGAAAGGAGAATCCATTTTTAAGGTTTGTTCACAACCCTTGCAACCCACTTTTGGGTCACGACCCACAGGTTGAGAAATGCTGCCCTAAGGCAGTGACTCTCAATGAGGGGGGCTGCAGCACCCTGGGCTGCCTTGAGATCCTTTCAAGGGATGCCACAGAGCACCACACCATGTTGGCACTGTTAGGTTTACAAGCACCATTCAGAGATCCCTTTGAGGGGTGCCTCAGGGTGCTGCACAATGTTAGGGTTACAAATGTGATTCACAAGAATTACCCAGAAACTTCAAACAGAAACCCATACGTGTGTGCTTTCTGAGTTCCTTGCCTAGAAAAACTGCTCCATTATTTTTCTGTAGCTAAAAGGAGTGAAAAGGGAGAGCTTTCACTGGGACATGGGGACACTTCCTTCCTTCTCAGCCTAAATGTGCATGCTGTTGTGTGTTGCTGTTACCCAGCTGCTGTGTTGTACTCTAGAGGTGTTTGCATTTATAGCAGATGAAACCATTCCTCCTGTGTATATATTACCACCCAGTTTGGCTGCAACTCACAGAAGGAAATAATGCACTAGTTCTAAGTAATGCTGAAGGAATGTGACTAAAATGACCCAGGAGGTGTTTGTAGGAACAAAGGCTTTGTTCATCTGGGGCCCCCAGCTGCAGCCCCAAGATTCCTACTGAAATGAACACAACTTTTGCTGGGACTACATAAATCAGAACAACTCATAAGCACTTCATGATATCAAGGGGTAGGAAAATCAAATACATGTAAATAATCATAAATGTTGCTAAACGTGGAGAATAAATATTACCTTAAATATACAAACAAGGTTTAAAAAGTACCAAAACATTCAATTCACACAAGTATCAGGACACAAAGGTTTAAAAAGGTGACAACATATGAATTAGTAAATAAAAAAATCAAAGAACTCTCTTTAATTTGTGAAACTCTATCTCCAGGAAGAACTGTCGGTGATGGGTGGAAGAATTAAAATGAAAGTTGGATGGGGATAAATGCTAACATACAGATTATTATCAGGGATCCCGGTTTTCTCTGATTTAAAAAAATCCCCAATTTTCAGTTAAAGAAAAGTAAGTGCATTTTTCCATGATTAAAAGGAAACACCACTAATATATAATATATCTATATATTAGTAGTGTTTCATTTAAATCATGGAAAAATATGGATTTGGGGTTACTTTTTTAACCAAAAATTGGGGATTTTTTTTTAAATCAGAGAAAACCAATATTCCCAATTATTATGTTGAGATCTCTATGTGCTTAAACATGTTTGAGGATCTGAGCCAGAATACTCTGACTGATTCAGATAGATAAGGCCTTTGAGCAGTGACTTGGAGACAGTCACTGATCTACATATGTCAGAGATGACACTGGATAGGTGCTTGCTCTGCCTTCCGTGAAACTAGTGAAGAGGCTATGCAAGTAGAAATGGAAGGCAAAATTAGCACCTGTGGGCGGTGGTGGACAGAGACAGGCTTAGGAGTCAGGTGGGGTAAATAACAAATGCGTCTGGTTTGGCCATTGCACAGAACAATCCTGAGAAAAAAATGCTGCAGGTACAATAAAAGGAAAAAGCAACCAAAAGAACTTAACTGCTGGTGAACAACATATTTCATTTGTCTCAAAACAAAAAAGTTTATGTTTGGGATGCCTTAACCGTTTTTTAATCCTTTAAAAATATACAATAATTTGAACAGCAAATGTCAATGGAAAATATTTGGAATTTTCAGAAATCCCCTTTCCTCCCTCTCCCTCTTTTCTATGGCAAAACCATTTGCCTAATTCATCCCAAAGCCATGAACTGTTTTCAGTCACTCCAAATTAGTGTATTTTGGTAAAGTTACCGTTCACCAAAAATGTGCCCCCAGCTCTATCCCCTGGCTTCTAGTCCTCATTCTGCTACTGCTCTGTCATGTGACCTTGGGCACATCTCTTCCTTGCTTCAGGCCTCAAGTTACCCCTCTTGCCATTCCAGATTTAGACTACATGCACTTTGAAGGAGGATTGGTGTCTTCCATATGTTTGTCCAGGGACAAATGATATTCTAGTAACAAGGAAAAAGAGTGTTCAGGATAGGGCCTTTCAATCAAGGTAGCAAGGATGACTTGTCCTTTATACAACGAAGTTACTATGTAAGGAAAGCTTCAAAAGTTGCTCTGCTCTTTTCTTTGTTCTCAGGGGAAATCACTCACCAGAGTATCATTTCCACAGAACAATCAGACAAAGGGAAACATTTAAAAAATATATCTGTTACCATTTCGCTCTTCCACAGTATGATTTTCTTGGTGCTTTGTTAATCTGAGTTTCCTGCTCGGACATAGATCAAGACAAAGGAAGTGTAGCTGCTCAGTAGAATGCAGAAGAAAAGGAGCCATTAAAAGGCAGGATAAAACATGCTGTATCCTTTTCCAGGAAGACTCTTCTTTTTCCCCCGTTTATTCCAGTTGCAAGCCACTTTGATTTTGTCTTTCACATCAGTAACTTTCTATGTGATTGCTATTTATTGTAAATTATTTGAATCAGAGCCTGAAATTTACCATAAGCTTATCATCCAGTATAGTGGTGCTCTGGCTTGGCTGGTTCAAAGGCTGAACCACAAATAAATGCTTAAGAATTGTCATCATAGTTCAGGTTTTTTCCTGGTTTACTTCTCTTTGTAACTCACTACATGCTTCGCTTTTCCTTTGACCTAAGTTTTCTTGGAGAAATATTTCATGGCTACCATTGGCACTAGGGAACTTCACTGATGTCTGTGAAACATTCTGTTCATCTGAAGAAAGCAAGCTTCACATTGTCAAGGCGAAGAAGGAAGACTACTTCATTAACATTTAGAGAGGTGGTTACCTGTGTTAGTCTGAACTTAGGCAGAAGGCAAGGCAGGTTGACAACTAAATTGTTCCTAGTCTTGAGCCTTCATAGGCTACTTGGTCAGAGACTCTGAGCAGACAAAGTTGGTTACATGATAGATAAAGGAGGAAGGGTCTTCCTGTGGATAGGAAGAGGACTGGGAGTCAAGAAATTAGTGTTTGTTTGTGGTAGCAGTCAGAATCAATGAGGGCAGTGGGATGCAGCCCCTGCTGTTACTTTCAGAGGTATTGCACCACTACTTCCAACCGAAACTGCCCCACATGCTTCTTCTGTTTCCAGAAAACATGTGCAAGGCTGGGCTGGGAAGTGGTTGCAGTGGGAAATGGCGGGGAGATACTTTTGCTGGCATTAGCTCCTGCCACAGTCCTTTCCTGGTCTGGCCCCAGAGACTGTCTTTGTCCTGAGATGCTCATGGTCTAAGTTTCTTCCTCTGTACCACCTCTAAGGGGGTTATGAGGATGAATTTGTTAGTGTTTGTATAGCATTGCTTGACCTTTGGGCAAAAAACAATACAGCAGGACAAATGATGGTTTGTAGTAACCCCTCCACTGTCTGCTCTCATGGTTCATGGTTCTCTCTTGCAATCCTGTCTTGCAGGGCAGTGGGTCCTGAATTTATTTCATGCCTCACATGACTGTATCAATGCCAGGAAATATTTATTCACTTACTGTTTAATGAATTCCTGCCATAAACTGGTAGGGCAGGAGTTACAGTAATGTTAAGGGATGACTGTTAACAGAGTATCCCCGTTGGTGATCTAGGCTTGCCTGGTTTGATGAGCTGCCATCTTCTGTCTCAGCAGAGATATTTATGGCTTGTGTTTCTGATTCTCCACAGCTGTGGGTGTAGCCTGCTGCCTGCACACTATTCGCACTCCATTATGATGCAATCTTAGGCATGATTTTGCTGATAGTCCAAACCAGTGCTTGGAAGGAGCTGTTGGCTGGGAGCCAGGCATATGGAGAGCAGCTGTTTTCTGAAAAAGGGATGATTTTTGTGGTTAATATACAGATTTGGGGGTGGGGGAGGGGAAGTGCTGGTAGGAAAGTTTCCTTTTGATAGGCAAAATTGCTAGATCATGGGAAGGCTCAGAAGGTCCACTGTAAGGGCTTGTTGCATTGGGAAAGACCAGTGGTTTCCTACTGCAGCAGTATCATCTGTTTCAGAGATGCATATGACACCCTCTCGACAGTGAGAATACTGCTGGTGACGATAGTGAGCATGGGCTAGGAAGCCTTCTCTCAAGGGTCTCCTAATATTTTCATTCCCAGGATGTGTCTGCATGGCGTTCACGTCATCACAGGCCCCACCCTTGCAGTTTCACTGGTAGGAGCACCTAGGGATAAGGGAATGGGAGCCATCAGTGTTTCAGTCACCTCAAGCCAAAGTCATTTTTGTTTAACTGGATCAAGCACCTACCCAGGAACTCAGGAAGGCTCTTTGCCCTTCTGGGACTTGAGGGTCCATGCAGTCCAGAGCAGCCAGTTTGCTATCTTGCTACAATGGCTCTCTGGGGCTTTTCAGAGGACACAATAGCTGGGGCAAAGCCCACACTCTGGCCTGCTCCAGAATGCTCTCCTGTGGTCCTAA